TTCAAGCTGAAGGCGCGGGAGACCAACCCGATGAGGAAGAGCCGCCATCTTCTTGCCGTGCAGGTAAGGCTTCCGCTGAGGCGCGGTCGCCGTCTGATGCAGCAGTCGTCCCTACTAACACCGGCGACGACACGTACGTCCTCTATCTCAAGCTCCTTCTGCCTCTGAATTTTCGTTCTTGAGGTTTAGGTCGATCTAGGGTTTTGTATTGCTCTGAATTTAGTCCTGACTAGGGTTTAAGTCCAGATTAGAACCTACAATTATCTTGCTCTACAATTGTAGTGCATATTTACATTGTTAGGATTGCAGTGTACTTGTGTTGTACAAATTTAGGTAATTACACTATTAGGATTACATTCCAGTTGTACTATGTGTTGTTCAAATTTATGTTATAGTAACTTGTACATTTTAATTGGTATTGTAGGTCGAGCTATGAGAAGTGGGACGTGCATATTGATTTTGAAGGGATTAAATACATCAGGACAAAGTTCTTTAAGAAAGACATAAGATATTACAATCTTATGTATGTGTTGCTTGACAATGGGTATAGTTTTTCAGACTGCCTATATTACATGAGATGTGGTGGAATAGGATTGGATGGTTTTAAACTGCTTGACAACCAGATTAAGGTGGATGAAATGCTTAAGCAATACCAGGACATCAGGAGGATAACATTGTCAGTTACTAAGGGCAAGAGGCAGCAGGCAATTGTTTTGTCTCCAGCAAAGAAGGGAAAGAGAAAGGCGGCAGAACCAATTCAAATATCTGATGAAGAATATAGTAGTGATCCTGATATAGTGTTTGCAGTCAGTGAAAATGGTGTGGCCCATAAGGAATTTGGTGATTATGTTGGTTCAAGTTCAGGCAGAGGCACAAATGAAAATTTGTTCCTGGCCACACAACAGAGTGTAAATTTCCAGCCCATCCAAACTATGCCACCTCCTGACAGGGCCAATTATGCAGACATGGATGACATGGATTTGGATTCAGAAAGTGAGGAGGAAAATAGCTCTAATGAAGATAGTGCAGACCTGCAGTCAACTGTAGCAGATATGAAGAAGGCAGCACTGCACTTTGAGGGTGACACAGAACCAGAGGACATCTATGATGTTCCTGAGGAGCAGGAAGAGGAAGAGCACAGTGAACAAGCTCCAAATGTAGCTGAAGAAGAACATTTGAATGAAGATGGAGTATTGCAGCAGCCTGTGCTTAAGATTAGAAAGAGAGTGGGCCCAACAACAAGAACACACTCATCAGCCAATGATCCAATTGATCCTGACTGGTTTCCCTCAGGTGATGAGGATGAAAATCTTGGTTTTTTGGACTCAGAGGATGATGATGGCAATGAGCCTATGTCTTTTATTATTCCCTCGGGAAGGAAAACAAGAGCAGAGAAGGCAAAGCCAAGAAAATGGTATGATGAAAGCAGACTCAATCCAGAACAGCAATTTTGTTTGAAGCTATGTTTCAAAGATGTGTACCAATTTAGGAGTGCTCTACTTAACTTTCACATCAAGCAGCTGAGGTCTTTCAGATATCACAGGAACTGCAAAGGCAGGGTCATTGCTTGGTGTGACCACAAGGACAAAGGATGTCCTTTTTATATTGTTGCTTCTCAGATCAAGAATGAGCAAACATTTTGTGTAAAGAAGTTCAGAGCAGAACATACTTGCCCAACGAGTGACAAACATAGTAAAGTGAGCTCAAAGTGGCTAGGAAGCAGTATCTTAGAGACAATCAGATCAGACCTAAACACAACTGTGCCAGCATTGGTGGACAAGGCAAAGAGGAAATTTGGAATTGAAGTTCCAAAGATGATGGCATGGAGAGCTAAAAAGGTAGCAAAGGAAATTGTCCTAGGGGATCATAAGAAGCAGTATCATAGGTTGTCTGATTACATTGAAACAGTTAAATTATGCAATCCGGGATCTAGATGCATTGTCACAACTGTCACTCCTAAAAGCACAAATGAAAACCCACATCCAGGTCCTAGGTTCCATGGTCTTTTCTTTTGTCTCAATGCACCTAGGGAGGGTTTTCTAAATGGATGTAGGCCTTTCATTGGTTTGGATGGATGCTTCATAAAGCTTACAACTGGAGCACAAATCCTAGCAGCTACTGGTAGGGATGCCAACAACAACATGTATCCCATTGCTTTTGGAATTGTAGGAGTGGAGGACACACCCAGTTGGAGCTGGTTTCTCACCCAACTTAAGTATGCTCTGGGAGGCATAGAAGAGGGGAAGTTTGGCAAATACACCATCATGTCAGATAGGCAGAAGGTCAGTGATCTATGTTCTCTTTCAAACCTACATATTATCTTTTGTGCCTTAAGTATGCTCTAATTGTTTACTAGTTAGTGATTGTTTGAACTTAAGATTGAAACCTAGTTAGTGATTGTTTGAAGTTAAGATTGAAACCTAGTTACTTTCTTTTCTGCCTTAAGTATGCTCAAATTGTTTTTGTTTATTAGTTAGTGATTGTTTGAACTTAAGATTGAAACCTAGTTACTTTATTTTTGGTTGAAATCAGGGCCTGCTTAATGCTGTCAATGCTGTATTTCCAAACTGCCCACAAAGATTTTGTTTAAGGCACATTTATGCAAATTTTCAAAGAGCTGGATTTAGAGGTGAAGATCTGAAAAAAATGCATGGACAGTGCTAGATATTCCTACACAAAGCATGGTTTTGATGTAGCCATGGCCAATTTGAAGAATGAGTGTGAGGATGCATGGAGGTGGTTATCTGGTATTCCAATACACACATGGGCTAGGCATGAAATGGACACAAACTGCAAAACAAACCTGGTGGTTAATAACATAAGTGAGGTCTTCAATAAATATATCTTGGATGTTAGAAACAAACCAATAGTGACAATGATTAATGGAATCAAAGACAAGTTGCTAGTCAGGTTTGATGGAAAAAGAGAAAGTGCAGCAGCTTCTAGATGGGAAATAGCTCCAACATATGCAGAGCAGCTGGAGATGAGCAAGAAGTTTCAAAGATATTGCAAAGCAATTAGGGCAGGGCCTAACCTGTGGCAAGTAAGCAGTGGGCCAAAGACCTATGCTGTGAACCTTGAGGAGCACACTTGTGGATGCAGGAAGTGGGACATGTCAGTTTTGCCATGCAACCATGCTTGCAGTGCAATTTACAAGGCCAAGATGCAACCTGAGGATTTTGTAAGTCCTTTCTTGAGGAAAGCAATGTATTTGGAGGCATACGAACCAATAGTGTATCCAGTTCCTGGAGAAGATGCTTGGGTCAAGTCAGGAAAACCTGATATTGAGCCTCCTGTATTCCACAAAGAGGACCAGAGTGGAAGAAAATAAGAAAAGAGGAAGAAGGGAAGGTTTGAAGTGCCTAAACCAAAAGATACCTCTAGGATGGCTACAATCAGATGTGGCAACTGTAGGTTAATGGGCCACAGGTTTACTAATTGTGGACAACCTTTGAGGCCTGATCTGCAGATGAGGAAAAATAGAAGCATGGTACATATTTTTTCATCATTGTATCTGATTTTGCTTATGTAGATTTTAATTTCTGTTTGTTTTAAAAACTGCAGGAAAAGAGAAGGCAAAAGGCAGAATCCTACACTCCACCTAATGCTACTGCGGCTCCTATGGCACCAAGAGCTGCTCCTATGGCATCAAGAGCTGCTCCTAGGGCACCAAGGGCTGCTTTCTCAGCACCAAGGCCAACAGCTAAGCCTCCATGTGGAGAAGGGACTTCTTCTGCTGCTGGTACTTCTACATCTACATCAACTGTTGCTGCTGCTGCTAAAAAACAGAGGTCAGTGAGAGGTGGAAGAGTTGGTGGAGCATCAAATGCTACAACAGGTTCAAGGAAGAAACCTCAGAAATATGCAAGACTGAAGAGCTACTTCGCAGCAAGTGGAAATGTGTGAACTTTGATATCTGCCAGTGCTTGAAACTTTTGGGGCTATAACCCATGTATCTGTCTTGAGAAACTTGGATGTGTGATGATTTGAGTCCTTTGAACCTGTGTTTCAATTTGAGTCATGTGAACCTGTGTAATTTGAGCCATCTGAACCTATGTGGTAATTTCAGTCCTGTGAACCTATGTTTCAATTTGAGTCCTAAAAACTATGTGGTATTTATGTTACGTGAACCTCTGTTATGTGTGATCAAGCCTTCATGCTGTTGTGGAGTTATGTTGATCTAGCAGAATAGGGGTCATCGAACCCTCGACGACAACCAAAATAACCTTACCCTACATTTGGGGTCATCGAACCCTCGACGACAACCTAAACTACCCTACCCTACATTTGGGGTCATCGAACCCTCGACGACAACCAAAACAACCTTACCCTAGAATAGGGGTCATCGAACCCTCGACGACAACCTAAACTACCCTACCCTACATTTGGGGTCATCGAACCCTCGACGACAACCTAAACTACCTTACCCTAGATTTGGGGTCATCGAACCCTCGACGACAACCTAAACTACCTACTCCCTAAACAAAAACAACCAAAACCACCTACTCCCTAAACAAAAAACAAGCAAAACCACCTACTCCCTAAACAATAACTGGTACTTCTAATTATACATCTACATCTACATCACCTGCTGATGATGCTAAAATACCTCAGAAATATGGAAGACCTGGAGTACATCTACATCTACATCAATAGCATTATCCAGTAACACAAATTAATCCAGCAACACAAATTTATAGCATTATCCAGCAACACAAATTAATCCAGCAACACAAAATAATAGCATTATCCAGCAACACAAATTAATCCAGCTTAAATTCAGTACAAATGTCCTGCACTTTTAGTGCCACAAATAGCAGATAGAGTACTCTAGCAGATACAACTACAATAACATTGAATCATTCATCAACTATCTCTTTGATCTTCCAGATCTTCCCCTTGGTGGCCTCCTTCTCTTTGAACAGATCACCTATAGTGTACTCCAGGTGCCTTTTCTCTTGCTTCCACTTCTCCTTCTCCTCCAACAGCATGGCCCTCTCCTACTTGATCTTGTCCATCTCCTGCACAAGCTTCACCTTCTCTTCCTTCTCTTGGTCTCTCTCTTCCTCTGCTTTGGCCCTCAGCACTTGATGAATGTTAGTGTCTGATTTGTCAGCCAAGTTCTTTCTCTCGATTTGTTCCTTCAGGTCACTAATAACCAACCTTGCATTGCCTAACTGGGTAATTGCATCCTCCTTGTCAGCCACCATTTTGGCAAAGTCAACTTTAAAAAACCTCAGGTCATTTTCCATCTTCCTCTTCTCTTCCATTACCTTCACTACTTCTTCAGCATTAACAACATTCTGCCTCAACCTATTGGTCAACTCCTCCTCATGCATAGTCCAGATGGTATTTAAAGCTTGCTTCAATTGGACTGGCCACTCTGGGTCAATCCAGTCCACAAAGTTGCACTTGGGTACATCCTATGAATGTATGAACAAAGGAAATATAATTAAACGAATTTCTAAAAACACTAGTGATAAAAATAAAAAACAACAATCCATTAATTATCCATGTTTCTAGTACTGCATTGCCTACTCCTGGATAGCAAATATAGAGCTAAAATGATTTAAAAACAGAATGGCCACAACCTATAAGAAATTGGAAACTGCCTAATCTCAGACTTAATGTACAAAAGTACTCCACTGCCTACTGCTATTGTATCAAGATTTATGGCCAGAGATATATACTTTACTGCCTAATTTCAGACTTATTGTATCAGTCAACTCAGCACTTCAGTGGATTCACATATTTCAGACCAATTCTATCAGTAATGAATTCACATGTTTCACAAAATCACTTCAACACTTCAAGAAGTAATTGAACTGGTCAGAAAATTACCTTTTTCCCACACCCCAGGAACCTCCTGCCACTGTCAGTCCATTCAAAGGCAACAAACTTCTCACAGGGCGCACGATGCTCACAACGTGCAGGATGATTCAAAGCAATGCCGCTCCATTCCGTGCACTCCATTTTGGCAGGTACCTAGGCAGAGGGAAAATGAAGTCAATTGCTATCGGGAAGAAATTCCCCTTTCTCCCTAACCCTAACCCTAGATGCACAAGAGCAGAATCTTACCCGGCTCACATCGTCAGAGGAAGAGTCGGAACAGTCGGAAGGCTCAGACCAAGAAACCATGTCTCCCCTCCCGTCAGCGGTGCGAAGCTGCTCGCGACGGCGGCGGCGGGAGGTGCGACGCGAGAAAGGAAGGAGCAGAGCAGAGAAGAGAGCGGTTGGGGAGGAATGCCCTAACGTGCGCACGCTGGGCTTAACTAGCGGGGTCCTAACGGCCGTTTCCGCTTTGCCGTTTGCCCTTTGCCACGTGGCTCCGACGGGTGGGCCCGATAAGTCAGATTCTCAGTTAGTCGCGGCTCACATCACGTTTAGTGGTTTTTGTTACTCACTTGCCGAGGAAGTGGTGGTTTTTTGAAATTTTTGACAAAAGTGATGATTTTGCAGTATCCTTACCACAAATGTGGTAGTTTTCAGCAATTTACTCCGTTTTGGGACACAACCCGCAGTCCATCCTCTCTGTCGCTCGCTGGCTCTCGCCCCCGCCGCTTTGCTCCGGCTCGCCGCCGCCACGCTCTGCTTCGGGCCGCTGCCTCCGCGCTCTGCTTCATGTCGCCGCCGCCGCGCTATGCTCTGGCTCGCCGCCGCCGTGCTATGCTTCGGGTATCCGCCGCCTTGCGCTGTGCTCCATCTCGCCACCTAAAAGGCTCTCCTTTCGATCCAATAAGCCGATGAGTCACCGGATACGGCGTCAGCGAGGCTGTATACGTCGTCGGCGAGGTCGGACGCGCCGGATCCCGACCACCTTGCTGCTAAAAGCTCCCCTTTGCGAGCTCAAATGAGGAGTACGACGACGGCGATGTCCTGGAGCAGCACGGGTGACCTGGACAGGGAGGAGAGTAGCAGCAAGACGAGGGACACGACTGAGTCATCGACTACTACCACACCCTCCATGCCCCGGCGCTCACAAGGTATGCTTCCTCTATCTGAATCTCTGCCCTCCCTTTATCTGAATGTCCTGTTCCTCTATCTGAATCTGATATTCTGATTACAGATTTATTGTGTGTTCATTGTGCTTTATCTGAATCTGATCCTGTTCCTCAAGTTTGCTGTTCATTGAGTGTGGAAGATACAAGTGGAAAATACAGTCCACTTGGTTTGATTCAAATTCCTTCAAAAATACAGGGGCAGAGCTCTACTAAGAATTCAAATTCATTCAAAATACTGTTCGATTGTTTCCAAAAACTGCAGACAAATTCTAGTTACAGTACATCTAGCTGATACACATCTTGGCCTAATAATACGAGCCCTGCAAAACTAAGTGCAAGTACTCTTCAAGTCCCATTTGCTCTTTTGTAAATTCAGTTAACACATTTAACACTTGGTAAATTCAGTTAACTGAGCACTTTTGTACCAACAGTAAACTAATGCTTGTAAAGAAAAAACTTGCTGCACAAATTTGGTTGAGTTTGTACCAACAGTTAACTGAATTTGACTGAATTTTTGTATCAACAGTTGCACAAACTTGTCTGCAATTTTGGTGCTGCACATACTTGGGGCTGCACAAACTTGGGGCTGTACACTGTTAACTGAATTTGACTGAACACTTTCCAAACTTAGGAGCTGTTCTCTGTTAACTGAATTTGACTGAGCACTTCCAAAAGTCGGTTCTGAGTTTCTGCACAAATTTACGCACAACATGCTGCTACAATGAAGTTGATTGAACTGAACCTATCTTGGAACTGAAATTGATTGAACTAAAAAAATTTCAAATTTTCAGGACCAGTACCAGCTCGTAGAAGCAGCGATGGGGGCGGGGATCGAAGGCGGGGGCAGCCACCAGCTAACAGCAGAGATGGGGGCGGGGATCGGAGGGTGTCGGCGTCGCCCATCACCACCATCACGCGGCGGCCGAAGTGGACCTGCGCGTCAGCGGTGGGAAACGGAATCGGGGCCGAAGTGGACCATCGCGGCGACCAGCGCGCCGGCGGTGGGCGGCGAAATCGGTGGCGGAGGTACCGCTCGTGGGTGGGCCGCGGAGGTCCTGCTCGTGGTGGGCGGCGCAGGGCCTGTTCGTGGGCGACGTCCTGGGCGGGCTCTTTGGCGACGCAGGACCGTCTCAGGCGACGGGCGGCTGGCCGTGGCGACGCGCGGGCGATGGGGGCTGGCCGTGGCGACGCCGGGCGATAGGCGGAGGTGGAAGAAGGAGACGGGGGCTTGTTTGTCAGAGCTCTGAAAGCACAATGGCGTTTTAGCAAAAACACGATTGTACTGCGCGCGCGACGAGAATTTCGGGACGGAGGGAGTATGAGATAGTCCAAACCAAAACAAGGAGTAAAATTTTACTCGAACAGCCAAGAAACTGTGCAACACAAATTCTGTAGTCAACAAAACTGAAACTGGAGTCAGTGCTTAGAACTGTAGGAGTAGTCAGTTTTCCTAATTTTACTAACAGCATATCAAAACTACATAAGTTTTGGCACCAACAAAACTGAGTACTCCATTGCTTCCATGTTCCATCACTTCAAAATTCTTGATGATGATTAAACTGAAACATCACTATATTTTCCTGCTGCTGATTAAACTGTTTCAAATTACAGGAAGATGATTAAACTGAAACTGAGTATTGCTGATTAAACTGTTTCAAATTTTCCTGCACCAACAAAAACTACAGGAGGATGATTAAACTGAAGCTGGAGTACTGCATTACAAATTTTTGCATTAAATTAAAACCGAGTACTCTGAACAATTTCGGACTCTGGAGAAATGATAGGACAGGGCTGCTTTATATATAAAGCAGGGCGAAAGCTTTTTTGGGTAATGATAGGACGCCGACACAGAGAAAATAACCATATCATCACTGGAGTTTAACCTGCTTGTTCGTCCCAATATCCACCAACATGCAGCAGTAGTCCTTCCTCATATCAATCGGGAGTGCCACGAGAGATTGGTACCTGCGCCGATCGTCCGAGGCAAGAACGCCGTAGGCTCTCAACATCTCATCGTGAGTCAACCCGGGTATCTCAAGCAGCGCCGTCAAGACATCCTGATCAGGAGAGGCCACACACTTTGTCGCCGCCGGTGGCATGTCGACAGTGTCGTTGGCGCACCGGCTTTCGCTTGCCGGCAGCTTACGGTTGCCGCTGCTCGGCGAAGTGTTGAGGTAGCCCGAGACCTGGCTGGGAAGGAAAGCATTCCCCTGATAGTGTTTGTCCTTGGAGAGGATGGTAGTTCTGAGCAGCGTCTTCCTTCTCGTGTCGACCATGGCCACCCATGTTGTCTTATCGCCGTCGTGGTGGAGGTGATCGAGCTCGGACACCAGAAAGCAGACTACGTCGGGATCTTCGATGCTCACGACGGGAAATCCATCGGCAGGCGAGGGAGAAGCCGGTAGGCGTCGAGGTCCCAGAGGTCGCTGCAGTCGACCACGGCGTCCTTCTCCCACCCCATGTCGCGACCCTTCGTCCTCCTCAGGGTCCAGGTGGTGACGGTGAATGCATGGCGAGAGAGCGCGCACTCGGTGGCGCCGGGGCCTCCGCAGCAGCAGCGAGGACAGACATGGACGAACTTCACCGTGGCGCCGCCGTCGGTGGCGGACACGCTCTGGGAGGACTCGGGCCTGTCCCAGTCCTCGCGTTGACGGACGACGGGCTCCACGGGCAGAGGCAGGTACCTCAGCTCGGGGGTCTCCTGTGACATGTCGGAGAAGACGATGCCCTTGTACAGGTCGACCCAGTAAAAGAAACGGTCGCCGACGGGGATGACCCTGTCAGTCTCCCAGTAGTCCCAACAACAGTAAGAAGTCACCTCGCCATTGTTGACGTCGTGGTGGACGCGAAGGCGCTTGATCTTCCAGTGCAGATCGCGGGACCGGAGCACGCGGAGGTCGGCTACCACCACCCCTGCCTCGCCATCATCAACAATTTTGATAAGACGGATCGCCGCCAATACAAAATCCCATAATTTTAAATAGCCGGCTATAACTCCGCTACAGCTCCGTTATAGCTGTTTGAGCATGTTGTCACTAAATGATTTCATGTATAATTTGCCGCTATAGCCTGCTATAGCCCAGCTATAGCTGTTTTTAAGGGTCGCTATATGCCATAGCCCGCTATTTAAAACATTGAAAATCCCCATCGCCGCGTCGCAGGATGCCTGTTGTTTTCCGATCCATATTCAGCTGCTCCCGGCGGCCATGGAACCACATCTCATCACTCATGTAACAAGGGGGGAGAAGCGAGAACGACGGCGGTCGGGAGGGGTCGCCGGCATTGTAGACGAAGTAGTCGGTCGCGGTGTTCACGTACTGCTTGTCCTCCATGTGCAGACGTAAGAGTACAGAGTAGCCGTGGACCGCGATGACGCTGGGGAAGATTCGCGCCCCGTTCGGCAATAGGCCGTGGTGGAGGTTCAGGGGCGAAATCGCCGGCGGCGCGGCGAGGTGGAAGGAGACGTGGACGGGGTAGTCGGTGGAGGTGCGAGCGTACGCCACAGTCCTGGAGTCAGCGGGGCTGGGGCAGGGCCCCGCTTTCCCATGGCCATAGATAACGCCGCCATCGAACATCACCTAGCGAGGGTACTCGGCGGCGGCGACAGTGTCACACCTAACCAGCGGATTAGTGTGTCCTAGAGCTGGCGGGTGGGCCCAGCCAGCTGGCCGACAAGTGGCTGTGTGCGTAACGATAAAGGGTGGCCGCCTGTGGCTGTGTGAGGATATGCGTATGTTGACAACTCTTGTACCCGAACCCTCCCTCTGCAATTCATCCCTCCTTCCTCTCCAAGTCATCTCTTCCCCTCTCTCGCCCCGATCCGGACCCCCTTCTCTCCTCTCCCTTCCTGGGTGTTACAGTTGGTAATCAGAGCCATTCTCCGCCGAATTTTTTCTTCCTTGCTTGTTTGGGAGTCAGTAACATCCACCGCGCCAGTGTGGTTTGCTCCGGCGAGCCGCACGAAATCCGTCGCGGGGTTCGACGCCCTTTCGAGCAGGACAACGGCTCCTTCCAAGGCCTCGGTGGTGACGCGGCAAGTTCTCGCCGCCATGGACGAGGGGAACACCAACATCACCAAGATGCTGGAGACGCTGCTCGCCAGAATCGACGACCAGAAGGTGGCGCATGAGAAACATA